ATTAATTAACTAAATCTGCCAAACCTTAATAACAGTGTGCATTCTTGTTCCTAGTGAATCTCTGCGTTATAACCGAGCTGGAACGACCTAACTCTTCGTATGTCCAGTTGTCTACATCGTCACGGTCGCTCCAACCAAATACACAATTCCGGTGTTAAGAAAGCCAAGTACATAAAACAAGGTCATACTGACTAGCAGTGGGTTGTCTAAGAAGTCGGGGAGATAGAGTAGGTGGTGTATACTGAGAAACATTTTATTTCGAAAGTAACATCGCAAAATTTTAAGCAAAAGACCTTCATTCACCATGTATAAAACAGGGGACGCAAAAAAGATAACCCCGGAATATTACGAAGGATACACAGTAGCCGAAAGCTAGAACTGTCAATGCCACGAAGAACCATCGCTGAGTCGCAAAATTGAGTTCATATTTGACTTGTCTCAAAACGGTGTGCAGGTGATAGTGGTTCAAATAAACAGAGGGTTAAAAGTAATAATTAATGCGCAAAATAGGCCAACCGATGTAAATATGAGAAAATTTCCATGTAAATGGATAGCAGCAAAACACGACAGTTATATTCCAAAAAATATGACTTTATAGTAGGAAGATTACGATTTCATGTGATATGCCGCTTACTGTGCTTATTTTACTCACTGAGACATGAAATGGGACCATATTAACGGCTCCGTCGGGTTTAGCGTAAATAAAAAGGTAAATCGACTTATTCAGAAAACCCGAGAAATTAGCACCACGAACCTTATCCAAAGCAGATATTGATCACCTGGTCGACGTCAGAGTGCTCGGTTTTGACCAACGAATTGCTACACACATCAGATCATTTGTGGTGTCAGTAGAAGTTATTCGCCAGACAGATAGATGCACACAATGATTTTCCAGACTAATTTACACCAGAAAACACAGGAGAAGTAATGACGACGAAGGCAGGGGTATGCAAAGACCTATTGCTGTATTTTAATAAAAACCATCATTTAAAATCACGGTAGAAAGAGAAGGTACGATAGAAACAAGTTAACAAATAATTTTCACACATTCGTGCAAAGGTAGCGAGAGAACTAGTAGGCTGATTTGGCGACAGGCTCGTGCCGGAGGAAGTAAAGTTGAAAATGCACAGGGCCATATGAGGTGGAGAAAAAAACCACTGAAGTTAAGAGGAGAAGAAGGTCGGGTAGAAGCGTTCCACGGCAGTGTCTAAGACATCACGCAGTACTGTTGCCGCTTTCTGCACGTCCGGGAGTGCAAAAGGCTGGGGGGGAAAAAACAGGGTAAAGTGAGGCGTGAACGTTTTATGTTTACAAAGAAAGCAACGGTAACTAGCGATGCACCAACCAATTCCTAGGGCTACATAAGAAATGTCAGAATCGTTATTTTTAAGCCGACGAGACGGACGTAAGCAGGGCTCAAAACCAAATTTAACTAGGCGTTCATATTTAGAAATAATACGTGAAATGGGTGGACAGGGGGACGGAGAAAAGTTATTTAGGTGGTAAAATAAGTAACACAAATTCAAGCATAAAATGGATTGCAGACTGCCGTATAAAGACAGGAAAATCACGGCCGTCGAACAAGAGGAATGATTCG